CAAAGACGTCGTACATAAGTACATATGTATAGAATTTGCAATGAATGTAAACCATGGAGGTTAGACGACGGGAAACCATACTTATAGCACACATAGATTATTATACAATATATGTACCGACATATGTATTCTTTACTTGAATTTTAATATTACATTTCTTAGCTGACTTAGCGCGTATTAGCGTGCAGTTATTCCATAAAGCTTTTATAATATGTGTTTTATATGTGATTTTATATGTTGCTTATTTTCGAAGTATCTAAGTGTTTCTTATGTATACACCAACAACACATAAATATATATTACTGGTTTTATATGTTGTTAGTAAAGTTATACCTTATGAGTACTTTAACTTATCCTACATAGAGTTTCTTGCAACCAGGACACTATAGGTATACTACTGTCAAGCATGAAAGTGGGTGCATGACCACTCAACGAATAGTTCACATACACAACGTCAGTTGACAGAACCAGTTTGTTCCGGCTTGGCCAGCTGACAATCTCAGGGCGTGCGCGTCACGCTATTTAAACAAATGATAAATTATTAAAGAACACGAACAATAAAATAATATGTATACGTAATTTATCATCATAAAATTTAGTTGATTTGAAAATAAAAACAAAGCATATGAAATATATACATACATATATTTTACAACACTTCTATTTGCAAACAGTACAATAGCTTGCCAGCCTCTTATTGCGTACTATTGTTAAAATTGCAAAAATTTGTATATGTATTTGTATATTTGTACATGTATATTTGTACATGTATGTTTGTGTGTGTGTGTGTGTGTGTGTGTGTGTGTGTGTGTTTGGATATGTGAATGTATGTCTATTATTCCTTCATGCTGAATGAAATTTAATACACAAATAGAGCTAATAAAAACACATAGATATTCAAACATTATTACAAGTTATAAGATTCAGTTAATACTTAATACTTACATATGTATAAAACAGTTTGTTTACTCGTATTTATCCTCTTGTCACAACCCTACTAAAATAGCAATATATTAGGTGTGCTCCTTAGAAGCTTTGCCTTTGTGCGGTATTAACTTATATGCTAATATATCTCAGATCTCTAACTCATAATATATCTCAAACTATCCCATATAACAAACGCGTCATTAATCGTACGAGTGCGTCTACGGGCCTAAGCCAGACACCTTAAAGGCATGCTTACAATACATCACTATAATTTTATCATAATCGAATGAAAGGTCGTATGCACGTATGTATATTTGTCTTTTATATTGGTAATTAAGCAAGTAAAACTAAATCAAAATCGGTGCATGTAGTTAGGAGATACGATGCCACAAATAGACAAACTAAAAGAAGGTGGTTAAAAAGACGAAGAAAATACACACTTATTATTATAGACTTGACATTTAATATTAAAATATGTATTTATAATAATTTATTAAATTTCATATTTATTATAGACTTTTTCAATATTCAATCCAGCTAAAAAAACTCACCAATTTCTAAAATTATAAAAGCTAAGTAGAAAATGAGAACTTAATAAATATCTAACGCAATGATTTCAAAGGGAAGTCCACCTTCGACACCAATAATACTTACAAAATAAATCATAGTATTTAGGGATGAATTATTAATTATGTTAAATATGGCATTGTATACAATTAGGTAATCTATACTAATATTATAAAGAGGCAGAGTTTGTTTGTTTGTTTGAACGTGCTAATCTCTGGAACTACAAATCTGATTTGAAAAGTTATTTTTGCATGAGATAGCCCGTTTATTGAGGAAGGCTATATATCATCATGCTACTAACCAAGGGAGCGGAGCAGTAATGTAATATATAGTCTAACTATTCCACACCAACGTCAAAACGTCACAAAGTCTTAATTATAAATGGGCACATGGTAACCCTACCTTCGCACAAAATTTCCGTATACGTTTGTAAACAATTTCAAAAACGAGGCAAAATTATTTCCTTTGTCTGTTTTCACAACGCACTCCAATTACTGTGTGATAAATATTTGGTAACTCGTTCAGAATAAACTGACTATTACATAGGGAATGGTAAAGAATCGAAAATTTTTATTATTATACTGGGTGTTATTTAATTCCCAAATGTGTTTTTTTCCATATGGGATATTAATAATACAAAAATGAAGATATATTTACAACAATAGACTTAAGTCTCACCGAGGCTTTACTTAACCCTCTACAGGTAATGGGCATCATTTAGACTAAATTACTAAGAGATTAAAAAGAAACCTATATCACTCGTATATGTGTAGGTATGTAATGTATAGTTGTTTTACCGAAATCGACAAATAAATCTATCCATCTTTAATATTATAAATATGAAGGTTTGTGAGTATTGATGTTTCTTACTCTTTCACGCTGAACGAACGAACGGTTGAACGGAAATTTGGCACAAAGATAGATTATAGTCTGAAATAACACATAGGCTACTTTTTATCCCGGAAAAATGTACGATTCCAGTGGGATAGGTTTGTTTCTGTATTCCGAACGAAGCGAGGGAGCCGCTAGTGAGATATAATTTATTTATATTTTATTTGTTGTAAATAAAGTCCGATGATACTTTGAAAAAAAGTTTGAGGTGAATATTACACCTACTAGGTTTCTTAGGCTTAGTAATTCATTTAACGGCTATGTATATTAAACGTTTAGCACATTATTAGTAACTTATCGCTGTAACAAACACACCAAAAAACAATCATATAATATTTTAGTATAGAATTAAATAAAAATATTTTAACAAGTAAAGACTATAGAAATAAATAAACAACCTCTCAAACACTTACTTAGATATATTTTCTCTACCAGTTTTCCACTTTCGTACGCCAAAGTTAGAACAATGTAAATAAAAACTTAGTTTTCTGTAGAAAACAAAACTTCTTACTATCGATAAAGGTCAGCGATCCTTCACCTCACGACTTACCAATAACATCAATCGAATATTAATTTTAGAAGTCAAGAGTCGATACAGTAAAGAAACAAAAGAAAGGAAATCTATTCACTTTTTTTGCCCTTTGTATCGAGGGTACTTTGTGGGTTTCTTTCTATAGAAGGAAACCTTTTTGAAGATTTCTTTTCGCCTTTGACACAGCTTTTTCTTAGCTCCATGATTGCGTCAATGGTATTTCCAAATGTAATTTTGCTAAAAGCTTCAAATATAAGCTAAGATTTCTTGATATGGATACGTAAATGATGGTGCTCTATTATTTATGAAGCCATTTTATTGTCTCGCTATGAAGATTTTAGATTATTTTGTGATAATAAGCACTTTCTATGTTCTACAATAATCACTACTACACCACGACAAGGTGAACGCACGTTGGGGGAGGGGGAGTGGGAGGAGGGGCGGTGTATTTAAATTCTAATTAACTCACGAAACTGCCTAGCAAAGCTGGGACAGACTGCTACTTTATAACGTATAGGCACAATTTGTAGACACAAAGACATACATTAAAAATGTTATTGTCATAAACAACATAATTTATAAAATTAAATACAATATTTACATAATTAAATACAATTCATTTAATTTAATATATGATAAAAGCTTTGTAAAGCAACATCCAGTAATTAAACACACGACTAACGTTACCAAATTTAATTCGTACGCTCGAAACTTGTCGAAATAAATTTCGTGGAAACTTCAACAAACGTAGGAGTAAACACACCCAAGCGAGTCCACATTAGTTTTAACAAAGCTATAGAGAACATTGAACATACAATGAGTTTCGTTCAGGGTCGCTTTAAGACGTGGGAATACATACATCTGTTCGTTCTGCTACCTGTAAACAAAAAATACTTTTTAATATATCTTTGACTAAAAAACATTTCTGCTTCTCTAAAATCTCAATTTAAGTTGAACTTTGATTAATTACTCTGCAAGTTTTCATCAATAGACTTGTTTTTGCGTAAAATATAAGAAAAATATGTTCATGAAAAAGTATGTAGGTAGGTAAGGTAATCATAATATGAATTAATTATTTAAAATATTGAAACTAGGACATTTCTCACTCAAAATTCTATATAAAATTGTATTGGGTATTATTAAGCTTTTAGTGTTTAACACATAGGAATATATGTGACTTGATGTGATACTAACATAGTGGACAGCAAATTATATCAACTTAATGAACCAATATCGTGCCTTGCGGGACACCATACAAACACTTTAATTCTTTAGTACTTATTATTTTAACTAATATTTAAATAATATTTTGTACATTTAATTTTGCATAAATTCACAAAAAATAAAGAGATATAATTTAAAAATATGTCGGTACAAACAACAAATATAAACACCTCACTATAAAACGCTTTAAAGAGTACTAGACTCATACATAGTCGTCAAAAGTGTTCAATTAGTTCTGTTTCCTTTTATTTTTCATGTTTCTTTCTTATACGTGCCTATTTTATTTTTACACCGATTAGATGCCTAGGCCTTAGGATAACTTAGATCACTACTTACCCACACAAGGCTGTATACGTTTATGTTTCACGGACACTGAGCTTCTTTTTAGTGTACTCCTGATCTCACACACCGTACAAATGCCCGCAGTTACCTCAACTCTTGGCTTCACACCTTCGGCCTTCGGTGAATGGTCTGCGACTGCTACTGATAGAGCATAGTCGGCGGCGAACATACCCTAATTCTCACGTCTTCTCGTCTTCAATGGAATACTCTTAAGGGACTGTCAAAAGACTTAAATCGATAATCAATACTTAAATAAATTTTAGTTACCTTCATAAAGAAATCATTCTTATTTCTTTTGGAATCATTTTCATCTAGTTGTTTTTCTTACGTGGTTAAAAACTCTAGAGAAAAATTTACGAAAATCTAATTTAAGCGAATTATTGACCATTGAAATATTCGAATTGATTATCGATAAGACAGTTTGAGGTCCGATAAGTGTGTTCCCCTTCGCGGCTCGGCACGGGGGCGGTAGTGGTTGTTGGTAACGTGGTTGTGGGGCAGCGGCGGCGTGGGGCGAATGTCCACCGGCGGTCCGGGCGCTGTTCGAGCCACGGCAGCCAGCGGCCCGCGGTCCGTCGCTAACGCGGTATGCCGCGCCCGATGGTACGATCCTGCTGCTCACGGAGAACGGGACCCGGCTGATGACCCGAGCTGCAGCTGCCAGCCTTCTCCGCGCCGCCCTCCTCTCCCCGCGCCCCCCTCGGCCCCGCCATGGTGAGCCGCCGCCGCACCTCTCTGTGTCTATCGGATTCCGTCGCCTATCGCACTGCACGCTTATGCTTCTTAAGGTAGGAGCGTACTAGACAGGCCTAGCTTATACACAATTCTTCGACAAATTAGAGAAACTCATTAGGTGTGTTTAGACATTTAAACACATTTTTGATAGATTCATGCTACTTTTAACTGTATGTAAGGTGAAATGTAAGAAAATGTTTTACTCCATCGATCAGTAGGTTTACATCTATTAGATTAAGATACCACTAGGTTACATTATAACTTGTTAGCTCAAATAATTATAATTCGCTCCTACTTTATGCCTGCATGCTTTAAATCTGCTGTATTCCTTAAGTTTTAAACTACCTTAGACTTTCAAAAGGACGATTTGCCTAATAAATTCAGCTAAGGCGTCATTTGAAGGTCTAAAATGGATTTTCACTTTTAATTCAAGCATGATTGCATGTTTTCTCTCTGCATCTCCTATTTCTACGATCTCTATGGTTACTGCGCGGCATAGACTTGGCTTTGATAATCGTTAAGTAAAATTGCCACTCAGAAGGGCTTGCTAATATAATCAGAAAGGAAACTCAAATTTACGCAACTTCACTTTTGCCCGTTTTATGTCGTAATTTTGTCGATATCGTTGTTTTTGTCGTTTTTAACTCAGTAGGATATTATTATTGTGCCAAACCGGCCCTGCGCGATCGCCCTTTAACGAGATCCTTCGCGCTTTGGACCGGTGGTCGCTTCCACAGCTAAGCGATACGGATGCAATTGCAGTAAAACTGATGTCCGACGGACGCACCGTGAATTGGAATGCTACGGGAGTGACGTCTTGGATTGGCGGTATGTCGATAACGCAGGACGGCAACCTGATCGCACCGGACAAAATAATGACACACATCCATCGATACGCGAGTCCCCACTACAATCCTCATGGTCATCATTACCATCGTTGGAACCACGAGCCGGGGGGGAGCGAAGACCCCCTGTACGCGACCAAGACAGTCTACGGACCGGGATACATTGATGAGAACCGTACGTATATGTTTAATTATAGTGAAAAACATTAGCGAAAAGAAGATGGTAAACAATTCAATCGAAAAATTAGATCAATATGTTAACGATACAAATAGGTACACTTTCAACAGACAACTTAACCATAGATATCGTATTGACACTTCAGCTTCAAAATTTGTACATGTCTAGAAGACCCCGTACAATTTCATTGAGAACACGGTGGTTCCCTTCTCATAGCACATCCCGAGAACCCACTTTTCATTCATCTCCCGCGCGAATCATTTCAACCCCTGTGTACACGAGTAGTCCTTTCACGACTGGATTTAGCGAAGTTTAGAATGGTAGAATTTAAAATGCAGAAGAGCGATATTAACCGTGAAATAACATGAGTAAAGCTTTGCGTAGTAAACACTTAGAAAGGTTTAATTTAGCGCTTTAGAAATCTTGAAGTCTGCTTTCCTACTCCTGGTCCACCGTACGGTAGAAGAATTAGTTTAAAAGGAGCGATTTACCAAAGGCGCTTAAACACGTAAATCTCCGCGAAGCTTTGCAATTTGCGCTAAAAATTCAAAGATTTATCTGCAATGATTTGTCGCATACCAACGTCGGATTTAGCCTGTTACATTTAATGGAAATCCTTTGACGGTAAGTCAATAATGAATATCACGCTCTCTCCAAAAACAAGTGTCGTAAGTGAGAACAATTTAGTCGTTTAAAAGACTACTATATTTTTTCCTTAGCATGTGAGTTCTAATATTGCTTGGTACTTAAAATTGTATCCATGGTTCCATAAAAAATCATCCATCCGAAATTCTTTGAGTTTATATACAAAATTTTTGCTCACGTAATATTATCACATACAAGTATAAATATATCATCTTTATGACACTGTAATTAATATTTTTATCTTAAGCATGAGTATATGAGAGTATTAATCCCACTAGTATCTTATATTTTAATGAAACGTTTCTGTTAAAGTTTTTTTTTATTTCGTCCAATTTTTATGTTTATTCATTACATTATTATAATTATTTGATTATTTCATGTATTATAAAATAATATAACATAATTTTTACTTTATAAAATAATCTTATTAAATAAAGCATATCGACACTTAATACACCGTAACATATATATTAAATATTCGTGATATGAAAAACGCAAAAGTGAAAAGATATTAATAAGAGATATTTATATTTAAGAGAATCAATAAAAATATAAAAAAATATGTATAAAATGAGAGTATTGGCAGGATTATAATATAAATAACAGGTACAACGTATACAAATTTAATATATACGTAATTATTGTGTATGTTCTAATCAATTTTTTTACACAAATCGTTAGCATACACAACTCTGCATTAAAATTGTGACTACACAAGACACAAAACTACACACTAACACATAGCACTACCAACAGAGAGGATTGCCAAAGAGAACGGTAAAGCAGGTGATGACAAAGTGGCACTACAATCGACCTGCCACGTGGCGCTCGACACGTGCATAAAGGATAGCGAGTGCGTGACGTCACTTACGCCGGTACTGCAGAAGTGTCATGCGGCGGAATGCGATCGAGAGGGCTGTATGGCGGCTTTGAGAGGCTTTTACAGGAAATCTGGGGTCCGTTGGAATACTGAGATTGCTTTCTGTCTTTGCAAGTAAGTTATTGTATTTATTTTTCAGATTTTTTATTCGCTTTGATAATAATATTACTTATCAACCGACTTCAAAAAGGAGGAGGTTCTCAATTCGACTGTATGTTTTTTTTTTTTTTTTTTTTTTATGTTTGTTACCTCAGAACTCCGTCATTTATTAACCGATTTGGACAATTTTTGTTTTGTTTGAAAGGGTATACTTCCAGATTGGTCCCATTTAAATTTCAAAAAAAAATACCACCCCTAAGGGTGGAAAAACAACTAATAATGAATTTAACCTACTTCTAATTGTCATATTGACTTGAAACTTTGCAAGTATTTCTATTTTCGTTGATAGTACAGTGGTTCGGTGTTGTTGACCTGATCTGATGGCAAGGCCAGAAGGTGGATAGGTGGAACTCTTCAACGGCTAATAGTAGATACTTTGAGTTTGGGCTTATTTTGTTTGATTTGACAAGCCTAGCACGTTAGAATCCTTACTTTGCTACTACTGTCTACACTAAAAAGGGAAAAATAAAAACTTTTTAACAAAAAAATAAAAACCGACTTCAAACAAAAGCACTAAAAAGTGAAAAATAACTGATTGGTAGTTTTCATTTACTATACATACCTAATCAAATATTTTCGAAGTCGGTGTGCTTTGGCTAAGTAATTAAAGCCTACCTATTAAATACATACCTAATCAAATATTTTCGAAATCGGTGCCAGCCCATACAAAGCAAAGCACACCGACTTCGAAAATATTTGATTAGGTATGTATAGTAAATGAAAACTACCAATCAGTTATTTTTCACTTTTTAGTGCTTTTGTTTGAAGTCGGTTTTTATTTTTTTGTTAAAAAGTTTTTATCATTAAAATAAAACAAATGTTTGACAATATTTTTTTGAATACATAATTGATTTTTTAAAATATTTTAGAAAATTGCTGTCTGTATGTGCGCAAATATACACCGTTTATTACTTACTGCGTCACGCCGAATCGGCTGGACGGATTTGGGTGAAACTTTGTATACAAATAGAATTTGACCTGGAGTAACACATAGGCCTAGCACCTAGGGATACACTCGAGTGAAGCGAGGGGATCTTTGAACATGAAGATATGACAATCCATTGACAATGGTTACAGAAAAACGGATAACAAGGAAGATTCGTGCATGAATGCACAAGAGCGGTTGCATCCGTCCTGTGCCCAGCGTCCGCCCGCCGGCTCGCCACTGCCTGCCTGCCACACCCTGGCACATGCTTGCCGGGAAGAACCGGAGTGCAGGTAATATAATTATGTTATTATTATACATCTTGATATATTCATATTATTATTCATTCATATATACTTAGGTACTTTATCCTAGGCCCGCTAACTAGCTAGATTACATTATGGAGGTCAACTTAACTTACTTCTAAAAGGCGTATCGAATGGAAACTTTGTAATTATATGACATTTTAACTTAAAATAATTTGATACAATCGAGTTGATCTGATGATGTAGCCAGTAGATGGTATTTCCAACATTATTACCACTTCCTACTCTTACGGTGAAGGAAAACATCGTGAGGAAACCTGAATGTCTGAGAGAACCTAGCAAATTTTCAAAACACATGTGCAGTCCGCCAAGCCGCACTTGGCCAGCATGGTGGATTATGGCCTGATCCCCCTCGTATTGAAACCCTTCAAGGCCCGTGCTCAGTAGTAGGACGTTAAAAAGGGCTGAATACATACATGTGTTATTTTTGATATAATTGACATAATTAGAGTAACGTTTATGGTCTGGAAAGTGCTTTAAGGTTCCAGCACATCGAATGATTTTGGCACATTATTGTAAGGAATTATAATATCAGGAGCCGGAGGTATATTTCAAAAATAAACTAGGAACGAATACAACTAGTCCATATTACTTCCATATCCATACTTCCATAATTAATATTATAATTGTGCAAGTGTCTTTGTTTGTTTATTTCTTTGTTTGTCCTTCTTTCACGTCGATTGTGATTTTTTGTGTGGAGATAGTAGTTGGAGAGTTACATAGGCTACTTTACCGCGGGAGATTATTTCATTTTTTTGTTAAACAATAATTGTTGCTAGATTAAGGAGTATATTTGTATACATTTTTGTTACCACGAATTAAATGAATTAAATGAAATAAATGAATTAAATTCCCACGGAAAAACACGTTATAATACAACCTCTAACAACTCATATATATATATATATATATACACTAATATATAGGCTATTCTATACTAACAGTTAAAACGTACCTTTGGACAAATCCGAACAAAGCGAGGGTGAGCCGCTAGTAAGGAATAAACCTTAATTCGCAGTAAATTATAGTAATAGCATATACGGCCCTAATTTGTCTGTCAATGCCCAACATGAATATATAAAAATATATTTATACAAACCAAGAGTTTGCCAATCGCCCTAGTTTTTAACTTCAAAGATAATAAAAATATTGTATCTTGAAGCCTTTAAGGCTTCAAAAAAGTTGTATATAGAAAAGTATAAAATCTTAAATCCAAGTTCTTACGTCATTATTCCCAGTTCTGTAGAGTTTTTATCTCCACTTTGGCAGTAGAATCTTATGATTCAGTAAAAGAAGGTCAAAAAATAATCCTAACCTACTTCAAAGAACACTCAAACGTCAAAGTTTAGCAGAATATTTAAAAACGTTATGGCTAGATTTTAAACATGCAAGTGAACCTTTTTAACTTACCGCTATTATAAAAATAAATATTTTTATATGAATAATATTATATAGAGAATAACTTTAAAGAAATAATAAAACCAATAAATTTAAGGTATTTTTTCACATTATGCTTAAACTGTGTAATAAATTTAACTTACATACATTAACATAACAGTGACCATAAATAACTGTAGTGCTCGATACGACAAGTTAAAAATTATGTAAAATTTTAACGTGCTCTACATAATACACAAGTAGTAATTCGTAACTTTATTGTTACTTTTTTACAAAATAAGATATATTAAATTAATGTATAGTAGTAAGATAAATAATATTAAATTAATAAAAGTAACATATTATAAATGTGAAAGTGTGCTTGTTTGTTTGTCTTTCTTTCACGTCGAAACGGAGTGACGGATTGGCGTGATTTTTATGTGGAGATAGTTGGAGGGCTGGAGAGTGACATAGGATACTTTTTACCGCAGGAGATTATCTACTTTCCACCGGAAAACACATTATAATACAATCCAAAATAATATTTATGCTCAGAATTATTTGAAACTTCGTATTAATGCTCTTCAATAAAATGAAATAATTACGAAATTCATCCTATAAGGGGGTAATATTGGGAATGAAAAGTATGAAACAACTTTTTTAGAGATACTATTTTAGAGCGAGCGAAGCCGCGAATTCTGCTAGTATATATTTACAAATACACTTAAATATAGAATGTGAGTAGTTAAAAATGAATAATTTGTTAACTAATACAAACATATCAATAAAGTAACTAAAATTGAAAAGAAAAAACAATTTTTACTAATAATTTATGTTCATAAAGCTTTAATTAAGTTTGTCAGTCTGTAAATTCGAATCTGAAAGACTTGTTTTTAAGAGTTAATTTACTTTTGAATTATTGGATTTACATTTTAGCCGCTTGGCTGTAATGCATGCATGAATACTTAAACAGCTACTTTAAAGCAGCTTTCTTTATAATACTAGTTATATCTATACATACTATGATTTTGTTTAACTAGAACTTCTCGAATCACCATATTATTATAAATATTAAAGTTTGTATGTGGGTGTCGCAGACTAAGGAATAAATAGAGTGTCGTGGAACTAAACATGAAGCCAAACAATGTTTTCAAAAAGTATACAAATAACATTATGTATACTGAGTGATTACTAAATAAATATTAATAAATAAAAATAGCGAACGGATAAAAATTTGAGGGAACCTAGATGTGAGTTGCGCCTATCCGTATGAAACCAGCGTTGTGGTCGATGCATTTGTAGTGAGAAGAAGCCGGCCACTAGAAAAATAAAATAACTATATTAAATTATTAATTTTATTTAGTTATTGTACGCCCAATTAAAATTTTATCGTTATATCGTAATTAGAATATTTCAGCCATTATTGTGAACAGAATTAGATCGCAAAGAACTGTCGTCAATGTAAATGTCAAATTGTCGTCAAATAAATTAAAAGTTGTTTATTTACTTATTTTTTAAAGAAACGCAACAAAAAACTTAGCGTAAGCGACAGTTTTTATATAACAGAAAATAAATGATTAACCTAGAACAGTGGCAGTGTATCTGCTTTTATCAAACAAACAGTGGTCGTAGGTTGTGTATTGTATTGGTTTTGAAAAGAATATGTATTTCAATACTCTTATCAAATTATTTTTTCATAGTTCCTGTCCTTTCTCTGCCAACCTTTAATGGATGAGCTAGAATCCAACCTCAAATCCATTGATCCATCAAGCTGGATCCATTTGGTTAACAGGTTTTTCGAATGTTACATACGAGTAGGTGTTTGGTTAATACATCAAGACATCACATGTTATGGTATTGGAAACCATATTATGGGCCCTTCACGATATAATATTAATTTATTAGTTTATGTTAAACTAGGAGCTTGCTTCGCTCGGGTTCGCTTCTAGGAAAACAAAAACAAACCTATCCCAATCAAACAAGCCTATGTGTTATTCCAGACTATAATCTATTTCTGTGCCAAATTTCATCCAGATCAGTTCAGCCGTTCTTGCGTGAAAGACTAACAAACATCCATACTCACAAACTTTCACATTTATAATATTAGTATAGATGAAATTACAATTTGTTTTGCCCGCGGCTTCGCCCGCCAAGTGGGGTGGAGATAGAAAAATCTATGTCCTTGCTAAATTTCATCGAAATCTCTGTTTAGTACTTTAAACAGGTAAGAGAGGCAGCTACTTTCAATTTTTATAATAATAGTCTAAACTTATGTATATTGATAAAAAATGTTATAGGATTCCTCGAACAATGAGCTTCGGTATATTATACTTCTTTAAGAAAAACGTTACGCACATAGAATAGAATGAAAATAGTTAGGTTAGTTAGGTATAGAAATTGTATTACTTACATTATTTCGGTAGATACATGTCCATTTGTCATATTTTTGTTATTTTTAGCTAAAAATGTTGAAGTCAGTCTACCCTGACTTCAAAATTACTTTAAAGGTCGATAAATATTTCCTCTATGAAAATCAATTGCATTTGGCATTTATATCGAGCAATCTACACAAAAAATATATCGATCGGAATACCTTCTCTTTTTTGAAGTCAGTAAAAAAACGTAAATTGGACCGCTCGTACTAAAATGATAAGATGATAAAAAATTCAATACGCTATTTTTATTCCACTCTACCTAAGTTTCGCCCGTAATGGCGTCACACAATACGTCACTTCAAACTTTTATTATTGTTCGTGATTTTTCAATTTTCATACATCCACGTGCTGTGGTTCCCAAACTTTTATCATGTCTGCTTTGATGGAATGTAGAGCTTGATCCGAAAACAGCTTTTAAAATTTTATGTAAAAGTTGTTATAAATTCATAGATAAATTTATTTCTATTTTATCGATAATTAGAATTAATAGATAATATTATCGGAATATATCAAAATAATGTCAAAATATCAATTCAATTCAGTTCTTTGTTTTGTGGCCTATAGGCGTGTCATTTGGGCACAGTTTACTTGGCGAATGTAGTGTAGAATGCCAAAATATCAAAATAATATAATAATGTAATCAAAATAATGTCAAAATAAGGCGAATATAGTACCTTAAACTCATACATTCATAGCGAGCAAACAATCCAAATTATTTCCAGGTCACTGAACCCTCTTTAATATCATCATCACACTCAAACTGCATTCATATTCTCAGTAAACCGAAATCTGAGCATTTAAATAATCAAAGAGCATCTTTTCATTAGCACAAAGTGGGGTAATAAAATGTAGGGAAACGAAAATACAGTTGCATTTACAGCTCAATATTACAGGAGAATTCAACGTAAGTACGTTAGGTTTCATTCACACAAGGATAAGTGCGAATGCAATTAAGCGTAAGTGTTACTTTGTTCTGCTATCAAATATACTCAATTTGAAAATTAGTCAGTCAGTTAGTACCGAGAAGAATGCATTGAAATAACAATATTAGATCTGTCTGCACGAAAATGCATAAAAGGTATACTGAGAATTCAATATTTGACACTCTGACGACATTATCTGTTGATACTAAAAAATAGTTAATAAAAATCTTTT